AACAAGAAAACCTTTCAGTAAACAGGTATTATATGATCCTGCTTCTGAGGGGTCTCACTCTACACTAAGCCACTTACCAAAGTATGCATTTCATCTACATACAGTAACATCCCTGAAAGGAGAAATACAATCCTCTCTATTCCATTTTTGTTCAAGTTATTTTAACAGTCTTTATATACTGGTCACACAAACCTCTGTTCAACTGCCTTTTACTTAACCCATGTCTGAATATATTCAAAGCATCATAAAATGTCAAGAATGGGAGAAAGATCCAAGAGATCACCCAATTCAGATCATGAAAATTCTGCTCTCTCTTTTTTATGAATAAAGATTACCAAGTGTTAAAAACATATTAGCCCTAAATTGAGTCTTTCCCCTTAACTTAATTAGAAGCTAGAAGGATAATTGAATATAAAATAACATTGTCACTATATAATTCAATATTACTTTATTTAGTCTTGTCCATCTGCTTTTAAAATTTTCCAGTGAAGGAGCTCAGGAAATTCCACCCCAAAATATGACTCCTTGGTATAAAGAATATTTTGAATCACAGGACCTTCGAGATCACCAAGGCACTGGAGGGGGCTTTCCCTCTATCTGCATAAACCAGACTGACCTGATCAAAACAGCAAAGGGACAACTGACTTCCCTTCTTCTCCCTGTTATCTCAATACATTACAGAAAAGAAGGTCAAGAATACAACCAGACCTAACTCAAATCATTTAAAACATTATACCTGTCTCTCAGGTCAATTTACAAATCAATCTGTTTCCGCACCCATTCATCATCCCTAACAACCCCTATACTCCTCATTTTCCCCCCTCCCCTCTAAAAGCCATGTATAAAAATATCTCAGCTTTATTGGGATATGGGATAATCACTCTGTGATTTCTCCCATGCATATGGTATTGGTAAATAAATATTTCTCTTATTAATCTGCCTTAACTATGAGCTGATCTTTCAGCTAACTTTCAGGGGAAAGGGCAAGTTTCCCCTCACCCCTACACTAGCACACAACCTACGGCATATATTCTACATATGTAGAAAAAATCCAAAACTTGGGGGTGATCGATGATGAAGAAATTCAGTGGGAGAGATGGGGAAGGATACTCACAACACGCTTGCACACATGGCACACTTGTTTCCATGCATTTTACCATCTGGGCCAAGGACAGGATCACTCTCCTTGGTGCAGACAAGCATCCCATTTCTCACTTGGTCCCGGAATTCACTGCAGGTTTCCTGGAAAATGAAGAAAATATTTTCTCAGAGCAGTTTTTCTACCCTTCCTGAATATTTCCTATGGTGAGGAATAAGTAACGCAGAGTAAAAAGTGAAAAGAAAAGTGGTAACAGGTAGCGGTAAATCAGTAAGTATTCATGGAGCTTCCATCACGAATGCAGAATTGTCCCGGCAGTGTAGCAGACCGGGAAATATTTATCATCCTCCTGAGGGTTATCATGATCAAGATGCAGAAGAAGGCTGACAGACCACTAGAAAACATATTTCCATGTTGGGGTGCACACTACAGCTTATAAAAGCTATGAAAGATCAGAGGTGGGGAGAGTCCGTAGGCAGGCCTAGAAGAGGTGCCGTCCCGGAAGAACCCAGAATATTGCAGAGCTGTGTTTTTTCTTTAGGAGGCTGAGAAAGAAGACAAAAAACATGCTAAACTAAGAAATAAATATATATATTTA